TAAATGTTAGCTTTTTATGTTAAATCAATGATTTTTTTAAAATTTCGCTCAGAAAGACGATTATTTTCGGGTTTCCGAGCACAGGTCATGTCACGTTTTTAGGCAAACATCGTTCAAACCTGGCTACGTATATTACCCCAGATCCCCGATTTTTATATTTTTCGCAGACTAGGAATAAGACAAAAAATCGTGTTTTAGGGTATTTTTAATTTTCTGCTTTTAAGTTCTAGTTTTTGTTCGACATATTGGTGAAAAATAAGCATTTTTTTACTATTTTCTTCACTAAATTACCCATAATTCAAAATTAGAGGCCATTTTTCAAAAATCCCTAAAACACGATTTTCGGGACAACCGTTACAGTCATTTTGAGCCGTAAATGGGGTATGTTTGACTCTCCATGTTTCCAGGTTTGAACGAGTTTTGGAGACATGTCATATCGCCAGAAAGTGTGCATTGTGTTATTCATACTGGTGTAAAGAATCATTACAGTATTCAAGGTCACTCAAGGATACGACAGTAGCTTCGCTACATGTTACATGTCCACCAAAAATAATAGCGGACATGTACTGTCCAGGAAACTGTTTGTATCTATAGAAAAGTGTTGTTTTTTATCTGTTGCAATGCACGGAGGTAGAAAGGTTTGTTTTGCCGCTTTACAGTAAATGACCGCAGGTGACCCCGAAATAGAACGCGGGTTCGATTCGAATTGCCAAGATCGAACACGATCGAACACAGTTCGGGTTCTATGACATGTGGGAACTTTGCAGGCCAGATTTTACCACCGTGTGAAGATATGACCGAAGTGGGCGATTGGGAAGCTTGCTAGAGAGTCTCAAAAAAGTCACTTTTATAAGGCCGTACAAGCTCAATTTTTCAGTCATTATGATTGGAACAAACTTCAAGTGACTATATTGTATATACACTTCCAATATTTGTAGGTATTTTACTTTTTTTGTCTCATTTGGTCTTTAACATATGCTAGGCTGGACTGGGACAGCAACATGGGGTTGTATTAGTCCATGTATTTCATTGAAATTTTGTGTTTTTTTTTTCAACTGTATGTTTGCATTTGACCTTACGGGTGGTATTGTAAATATGACGTGAAATGCGCAATAATAAACAAGGTGCGAGAATTAGTTATTTTTGGAGATATAATATTGTGTATCCATTTTTTACAACAATAGAAACGTTTGGTTCAGGCGTTGACAGTTAAGTGGCTACTTTATCTTGCTAGTCTAGTTTGGTTAGCGCCGTACTACATCTAAATTTAGAAATGTGAGATTGAGCCTGGGGCACTTTGAAAACTGGTGTCTGGCGGTACCAGTGTCTTGTGTCTGCGTCATAGCATCGGCAGGCTGTGTATTGTTTTGTGCTGCCTTCCACTTATGTCTACGTGACCGAATAACTAAAGCTCCTGTCACACATAGGCAAACATGGCCTCCCGACCACTGCACAACTCCATCCAACCATGGTTAGGACTAGGTCGGAAACGACGTCGCCTGTAACTGACTGTTGTCATCCGAGTATATTAATGCTGATAAGACATTCGGGTGTAAACGGGAGGTTCGGCTGTAGGTTATCCTGTGTTCGGGAGAAGATAAGAAATGTTCGAGGCGTGCTCGGGGTCAATTAGACTCAGATTCAATTTGATTTATATAGAAATATATAGAACTTTGCAGGTGTGTTCTAAAATGGCCAGACTTCGTCGACCTTATTCCAACGTATGTTTGTTGGTTGTTTAGTTGGTTGGTTGGTTGGTCGGTTAGTTGGTTGGTTGGTTGGTCGGTTAGTTGGTTGGTTGGTTGGTGGTCGTGGAAAGGTACTGAATGTGTTACAGATAAATTGTACCACCGTCTGACGAGTCGTCAAATTTTCAAGGTCACTTTGCAAGTTTTCCCCAAACCCAGACGTTCCAATATTCTGACATCTACTCGCAATATTTTTCTTACAGCCTCCTTCAATGTAGCCTGGATGCCATCCGATTTGTTACGGCTACCCCCCATTTTCGGGGTAACCGTTACAAATTGGATGGCATCAAGGCTACCTTTAATGTTACAAATTAGAAAAATTGAAGGTTTTTGTATAGAAAGAATACAATTCTGTTGTCAGTGTTGAAAGGTACTAGTCTTTAGATTCTATTGACCATACGCCCATTTCTGGTTTATAGTAGTATACAATTAACAAATTGCTAATGATAGAAACGAGTATGTGGATTTTCAAAGACTTTGTTATGACACGTCATGCCAAATGTAACGCAAACATTATGCCTACTTGGCCATTGCACCGGTCATTTGCGTAAATATGATTTAGATATGAATTTTGAGTGCCTTTTCTATAATGCAGTTATGAAAACACTTCCCCAGCGGCTACAAATATCATGATTATAAATTAAAAACACAAGCACAATGCTTTTCTGCATTTAAAGATAAAATAAACAAACAAAAAGACAACGAATGTCGCCACCACAATAAGCTGCTGATGGGAGTGTAATTATAGGTCATAAATTGCCAAAAAATCGGAAAAGTAGATTATGCTATTGTTTTAGAACACCTTTTTTCCATCAGATATTTTCATTTTAATTTTATAAGGACAACAAGGCTAAGTGCATTTCTACTACTACGCATTGGTTTTCTGCTACCCAGGCTATGTCATCCGTGAAGTTAGTATGCCATATACATATATTTTAGTATATTTACTATTTTCTGTGGGTTTCAGTTGTTCTTTCCTGCTATGAAACCATATATATGCGTTTTATGTAGTACGGTAACGTTTCTACAATAACATTGGTTTTGGCAATTCATGCATAGATACATTGTCCATTTACAGAATATACTGATACAGATTGTCCGAGTGAGGAGGGTTGACACAGTGATCTTCGCGTGGATTTGTTAAAGGCTGAGAACAGGCAACGAATCTGAGACCCAAAATTAAAAAGGCATTGTTTTGTCCCACTTTTATTTCAAAATCCTTCGAAAATGAGTAAATTTACAGTATCCTAAGTGTGTGAGGAGAGCTCTTGCCACCATATACTGCTACAGTTACAGTCAATGCTTTTCATTTTTCTTTAAAAAATGTTAAATATCTTTTTAGATAATATAGGTGTGGAATAACGTTTGCTTCTTCACTGTGTGAAGCAAAACATATCAGATTAGAAACAAAATACACTTTCGAAAATATTCCGCTGTTAAAACAGACGGTTGGAACAGAAAATATCAATTTGTTGTCACATAGTATAAAGAACTTTTTTCGTGCTTTTCTTTGGTGATTTTGATCTAGAAAATCGTTACTTGTGTCTGTCTTAGATAAATAAAGACCCCAATTTCAGCCGCACCCTTTATTCTGTAATACGTGTGACGCAGGTATACGTGTTTAACACGTTGTCACCATTTTTAGGTCGAGTACAAGTTAGATACATATAATTTTGTGCTTAATTCAATCTCATTCGCCACTTCAGGTCTGGTGGCATTATGTAGAGAGAATTCATAGCATCCAACTAATATTTAGATAAGCAAATGGAACAGAAGTCACTCTAAGAATGACGCAAATGTGTTGACGATTGTGGAAGTGGAACATTACCCCTAAAAAAATCCCTTACCTGTTCAAATGACGGGACTGCAACCAAGATGATGATCAGCCCTTGCAAAAACACGGGTAGAGCCTTCCCAGTCATGACGAAAAATGCGAAAATTTCTGTTGGAGTCCAAACAAAAAATCCGTTCCTACATTTTTGTCCTATTGTCGACTTTGTTACAGAGATAATGATGTATAATTGTAGCCATTGGGCACAAAGATGCGTGATATGTCGATGAGTTGATTTTCTAGTTCTAGTGACCCTTTTTTCTTACAGGTCAATAGCGCTTGTTGATCATCAATCATTATCACATAGCCTGAAGACGTCAACCAATCAAAAGGCTATACCCCCCCCCCCAAACCCTGGTTATTAAAAAGGGTTAATGCCCCCGCTCCGAGGTATGTATGGTACGATAATCCCTGGTCAAGTGCGATAACCACCGAATAAACCATGATAATATCCGATTCACTAGACACTTAGCAAATGTATGGCCGCCGGTGACCCAGGACTGACGCCCAGAGGCATGTGAATGGACTTATACCATTATTACGTCACAGTTTGTTTACCGCAATGAATGCTGGTCAATCGACGTTTATATTGTACAGGGGTGCGTAGTGCAGTGTGTGTTTGTGTAGCGTTAGCCTTTTATAAACCTTTAATACAGTACTACCTTCATCTAATGTCACAACTAAATCATCCATTACAGCATGTAATGCTGTGTCAACAAAACTAGACGCAGCAAAAATCAGACATACCTTACTTTGAAAACTTTGAAATGATCTCTATTCTTTAACTGACCGTTCTAGAATGTTCTTTAGAACAGGTAAACGAACTGTGACGTATCGTGCAGCGGGCGAGGCAGTACCTTCTTTCTAATACAGATTTCCACTTGTTCAAATCGTAGAAATGACAAGTTAATACGCGGTGTATCTTTGATTATATTTTAATTCACATTTACCAATTTGAAAGGACTTCTACATTTTGTCCAGAAATCAAATATGTCTACACTTGAGTTTTAAATGAATGCTCCGGTATTCCGATATGCGTTATTAAATGAGTCGAGACTATCAGATAGGAAGTATAGGTACGTACCAGCATGTTGCAACTTATGTATTGTACATTATACGAAAATATCTTAGAAACATACCTAACTAAATGTGGCATCAATGACAAGTATGTGAAAGGCATCCAATTTTAGTCCCACAAAGCTGGATTTTCAATGCCAACATTCTGATTGTTCTCATAGTGTAGTATCTCTATCCCTAAGCATACTGATAGCATGATGATTTAAGTATGAAACATGATTCATCAATTTGAGACATATTTCCTAATGCAGATTTTTTCCTTTTCTTTTTGCAGTGGATGCCTTGCGAGATAGATTTTTCTTATTGATAATAATTTACAGCATTTGTTTTTCAATCATAAGTCTTATGCCTTAGACCCATAAGTCACTAATTACAGTTTTTGGCTTCAACTGCTATGAGCCGAAAAAAAAAACAATCACGATGAACATTATATTGCCATTCGGAAGTAGCGACATCTGGCGATCCATACGTGAAGCCCAGCGTTATGTTCCGTTGAGCGAACAAATATTCGAATCAGACAACGATATCTGCAAAGATCGTCAAAATCTGAAGCAAACGGTTTCTTTTTAACGTAATATTTTATTATATTTTTAATATTTAAAGCATAACCGCCAATGACCTAAATTAAAAATACAAAATACCTTATCCGTTACAACAACCCATGATACAGAGACGGGGGCGCCACAGACTTTCTGCAACCTATGATCCACTGCTCAAGGAGTCACGTGTCTTATCTGCGTAACGTCACGGAAGCGGTGGATTGCTCAATCCTTTACAAAGACTGGAGTTGTACAGTCGAAAATTTGGGTGAGTCCAATTTGTTGTGTTGGAAATTACAGTTTAAACTTTCTTCATAATGATTTATACTAACACAGATGAACTTTCAAGATAAAACTCATGATACAATATGACTGAAACCAATTCCATTCCTATTAGCATTGTCCAACTCAAGTCACCAAGGTGGCCAATTATTTAAATGACACATCGTCATCAGCGAATTCTGTACATCTAAAGCAACCGGTGTCTTTCTTGTCACTACTGACCCTCGTGCGCTGGACCTCTAGATTCTGAAAGAAGAAAAAAATGCATATAATATTTTGAGAAGGTCTCGATTCATAAAATTTCAGTTTTGTTCAGGGCGATGCTAACTTCAATATGTTCTAGTCTTTTTCTATTCACACTTTCTATTCCCAATTACTATGGATTGAATCTGAAAACAAATAGAGATTTTTTTTTTGAATATGTGGTTTGTAACGTTATAGTGGTAACGCTATACTGATGCTGTAACGTTACAAAACACATGTTCCATGTTGAAAAGAACACAAAAACTTCATTCTCCATTTGTTGTCAGATTCGGCCCATAGTAATTTGATTAATATTAATGTTGAGCATAAAATGCCCCAACACCTCAAAACACAGTGAAAAGCAAGCTGTTTAACGTCAACAGGATCATTCCGATGCCTTCCTGTACTATGCAAATGAGGGTTACCCCCTATTTTCGAATTGCATTCTGGGGATGGAAAACTGGTGAATTCCCATATTGCCCCTGCTAACTCTAAAAGAAAATTCGTTTCATAGCTGTGAGTAATGTTTCTTGTTTTCTTCTCTATGTGACCTGAGTCAATGTTCAATGTCACCGTTACGCAGAGCTTACCTATGTTGTGCTCTAACTGTACGTAAGATTTGCCTTTGGGCATCGCGGCAAACTTCAGGTCTTGTCTGACGTTGCGTAACTCATCCAAGTTTACCTTGGGCCCCGCATGCTCTGGTGGAGGCTGTAGAACAAGCAAAACAAACAAACAAACAAGCAAATAAGGAAAAAACAAACACAATAGACATCGCTTAAACGACACCACATAAAGAGTCATGAATTAACAAGTGACAAATATTATCTGAAGCCAAATTGCCACTTGGAATTCTTGTCGAATCCTACTATAGACAAAAAAATGTATGGCTTAAATTGCAACGGTTAACGAAATGAGAGAAACAGTAGTTTATTAATTCAAATAAAAGCCGATTATGTAAATTTTTACAGATTAAAAACAATACACATGCTACTCTCTCTGATGACGTACCTTTTTACTTTCAAACTTTGCGTCTGGCTGCGGTCGTGGCGCCTGCGCAGTGCGTCCCGGCTGGGGTGACCGTGCACGGGGAGGGGCGGCGCCAGGTAACAGGGCGGCTACGTTGATATTAGCCTGCGGTAGGACAGTAAGGTCATTCATTCAAGTTCAAGGTTTAAGAAGTGTTTTACTTGACCCTCGGAGCAGATATATTTACAATTAAAAGAACTGCTCAATTATCGTATGTAATAAGTATTTTACAATACTTTAACCCAGTTTCGGAATGGAGCTAATATACTATGTTAGCTTTCATGGCTCCGGCGATTTCTTACAATATTTATGTGAAAATTTATTGATACAACAAAAGTACAGCGACTTTCGTAAGGTCATTAACTACATGTGAACATACAGACAGAATCGTTGATACAACAAATATCTGCCGGTAATCCCTCGTTTTATGTTGCTTTTCTCTAAATACAGCGCATATTTTGATTGCAATATTTCACCTCCTTTACCATTGCTACTTATACAATACAACAGAATGGAATATAATACCTGTCTGGCCTGGATACTCTTTGTGGTGGAACCTTTAGGTACCCCGGTTGTCGACAACGCTCTCTGGAACAAAGATTGTATAAAGATTATGCATAATCAGCTCAGAAAAGATCAGGAAGCAGTCATACCTTCAAATACCAGAGTTATCAATCAAGAATTAAGGTGTTCGAGAACTCATATCTGTCAAGAAAAATCGTAGAGTGGAACTCGTTGATAGACGGAAAGAGACTAGTTTATAATATGTCTGGTAAACCATTTTCTGTAGCCATTACTTGACTTGATACGACTAAGTCAAGTAACATAAGTGCACAGAAGCCAAAATGTGAAATTGTGATCTGGAAATATTCCAAAATTATACATTTTTAAAACATTGCAAGCCAAATGTGGGAGCGCTTGTAAAATGGCATAGACCTATCTGATTTGTTTGTTTTCCTTGTTTTCAATCATTTGTTTTAATCGTTAATTTTTATGTTAATTATCTAATCAGTTCATTTCTGTATCAGCGACCTGAATTACATGTAGACTTTTGTTCAATTTCTTTTTGTAGATGTAAAAAGTAGTTTACACACTTCAGTTATTATTTCTGTGTCTTGATTTTGTTTAATTAATCAATTAATTCAAATATGTTTTGTCATGTATCATAGTTACCTTTGTTTGGGGTAGGCCCTTTAAAAACCCACCTAGGTTTCTGGCCTACCCTGCATATTCTCTTATTGTTATTGTTTGATTAATATGTAACTTTTTATACGTGCAAATAATAAATAAACACTCAAATAAATAGCATCATCATCTGCTATTCTACACAGACACATGAATTGTGCATTTTATGCGTCTTAACATTATTATCATACATAGGTACTAATTAAAGATTAAAAACATGCATGCAATTACATTTTAGGAAATTAAGCCATATTGGTTTGTAGTCTAAACTTCGATTGCCAAAACTACCCGAGTAGAAAACATATATGAAAGTATATATAGCTATTTTTTTGCTGCTCTAGTAAAGTTTAATGTACTAGAGTCCATATATATATATCGGTCTCCATCTTGTGAAAGGGTGCCAAGATCACATTGCTGCAAAGTATTACCTTCCTAACCTTCCTAACTGTTATGAACGCCAAAAGCAACTTTGTGCAGAAAAAAAATATTTGGGATTAAACGTTTCAAGTACAAGGCAGAGAAAAGTAGAGAGAAAAAAACGCAAAACAACCTCTATGATCCAAACCGTCTGTAGACGATAATAGTAGTAACCAGGGAAATTATTCTCCAAGCAGACGTTAGGTTTGTTGGGAAAGTTTCTTCGGCATTTTTATCAGTTTTGTCAGCATACTTTCCAGTTTACATTCCCCCTCAAGAAAAGTAACAAAATGGAAGGCCCAGCGAAACGCCTAAAACGGCAAAGAATTATAAAAGAAGCCTATTAGTAGCCTCTGCTTAGTAAATAGCCGAATGTGACAGACCTAATAATTTGTAGGTCGTACTAACTCTCCCAACACATGCAAACGTAATGTAGATGTGTCTCTGTAACCGGCTTAACACAAATGTGTATTATGTAAACCGTCGTTGTCATTTGAAACCGTCGTTGTCATATCTCTTACCGGTCAATTCAATGTCATGATTGAGTGTACCTCTGAGGGGCACAAACATTAACAACGTAAAAAAAGCATTTTAATTGCCAATATAAGTCGTAAAAGTTTAGTAAAGATATTAGCGAAAATGATAAAGAAATGCACAAGTTCAGATTCGAACCAGGGTCAAAACTCCTAACCTCAAAACCCTAATCCTCTACGAATATTTCCATTATGATGTGCACATTGCGTTCTAACAAATGTACGCTTGAAGTCTGCCATTCTGCATGCAACATGGCACGGACCGTTTTAAATGGCAACGGTCGCTTACTCTCCAAGCAGAGGTTTGGGTTTTGGCTTATTTTTGGCATGTTTTTTTTTGGGGGGGGGGCTTTTTTTATCAAGATTTCTTTTATGCACTGGTATCTTTTTTACGCCAACCCGACAAAAAGGCGCCAGTGAAAAATAGAAAAGCCGATAAAAGAAGTCTATAAACACGCTAAAAATAATCCAAACCTCTGCTTGGAGAGACGGAATTTGTAGCGGCACCGACGTGGACACTTACCCCGCTCATGTCGTCCCAGTGACGCAATGACGTAATGACGATAAACTTGTAAACAAAGCCTCCGTTTGTAATTCACAAAACCCTCGGTCCCACCAGGCAGCCCTACCGAACAGTGCGAGGCTTGTAGGCGGTATGTTGTTGACTCTGGCACCGGTACAGTCAAGTGCGTCATTGGCTAAATTAGGTCTCCCTCCAAGGCAGTATGTCCTCCATGACCACATTCCAAACGTTCTGGCCGAAGGGTGGTGCTCACTGGATTATTTTAGTGAGCGTTATCCTAACCGTATGTCGTGTCCTACTAGCCTCTACTAAGCTTCGGGAGGCGGCTGGAAAGAGTACAGCATACCCAGGGTGCCAAACTAGTATCGGGCCGTTAGACGTTTTCCTTCGGCAGACAAGAGCCCTTCGCCCGCCTATCTAAATTACCGCTACGGGGGAGTTGAGCCCGAGGAGTTTGTCCGGCCCTATTACAGCTAAGAGAGGCGACACTAGACTGGTACTGAGCCGAACAATCCCATCGGGCTCAACTCCCCCGTAGCGATAATTTAGATATAGGCGGGCGAAGGGCTCTTGTCTGCCGAAGGAAAACGGCTAACGGCCCGATACTAGTTTGGCACCCAGGGTAAGTATAACATGGCCAAAGAGACAGATAACATACCAGGGGTGCGGCAAACTGTAATCTCTAGCGGACCAACTCCTCAGGCATGTTATCTCAGTCTATTTGGCTATGTTTTGTTCTTTTCAGCCGCCTTACGAAGCCTGGTAGAGGCTAGAGCCCTACCATATGATGGAGTTAGTTGGAGGTGACAGTTGAGAATGTTGACCTATCTCTATCTTTAATGTTGTGAGCCTTATAAATCGAACATATAGAAGAAGTGGGTAAATTTGTCTTCCACTGCCTAAAAAGAAGAAGTCAAACCCAGTAAATCTAGTACCATGCATGTTGTAGAATATAGTATAATGCTCGACGTAGATATAGTCTCACATACCACTGTATTTTCTTTCTATGTTGTTTGTAACTGCAATTAGCCCCCGGGCATGTATTTGCAATACACTTTCAATATATTAAAAGCATCGAATGCTATTTCAGTGAATGGCAAAATAAATACATCTTCTGGTTGAAGAGATCTGTCAGATACTGGCCTTTAATGCCATTTCTCAAATAATTTTTTGTCATCATTTCCTTCCTTTAAACATTTAAAATAGCCCGAAACAAGTGACTTGTCTCTCCATTATTTTTATTTTTGTGGGGGAGGGGGTAGCTTATCGATAGCTAGAACAGTCTATAGAACAAATAACCGTTATCGGTCAGTGGCGTCGAATTTTTGCCTCACAGATATCAGTATGCAATGGGATAGGATTGGTTCAACTTATCACATTTAAGGAATGACCAGAAAATTGTATTTGAAAACCCGCTATAACATTGAATTGGATGCCTTTAAGTGATAAACATATTCCTCTGGGAACTGTCCACATCTCACATGTGCAGTCTTCTCGCAATAGATAAGTGCGTTAAAAACAGCTCCTTGTGTAAGATAACCCAGAATTATATTTCACTCCCAGTGTCATAAGATAAGGCCACACTGATTTAAATCCGTGGATGACATCCACGCACGCATTGATTTTCGCCTGTTGTAAAAAAAAATCACCCCTTCCGTGGCTTTGACTTTGTATTAGTTATGGCTTAGGTGACATACTTTGTATCCTGTCTAATTGTTGTGCAATAAAGGTATTATTACATGTGTCCGTTGATGACTTGTTGTTATTATTTTGTAAACGTGACTTGGATCTCTATTTTATATATTGTATTATGATATTTTTTGTTGGTGACTTATAAGCCCATTTGGGTTGGGCGGCGTGTAGTGGCAGATGACGTTAATAGATCATTCCTTCCTTCCTTCGTTCGTTCATTCATTCATTCATCCATTTATTCATCCATTCATTACATAACTGCGAAAAGACAAATCCCCCCGTAAATTAGTGGCCCCTTCCATGACCTAGGATGTCAGTCAGGGTTGATAAATGTCTAATTCATAACAACTCTGAACCTGACTTCCTGTTACTCCGTAATGTTGACCTTGTGCCTTTCACTCTCTCTCACTTGATAGTTCTGGCATGCCTATATATAGCATAGTGGGCTAACTGTGGAAATACACAGGCAGACACTTTCGAAAATAGATAGAGGACGAACAAGAATCGGATGGATAAAAGAAGTGGGGTGGATAAGGAAGTCAGCCATGTATGTTTGGGATTGTGTTCTCGCCTCAAAAGCGCCACCTACATCGGCTACATATGGTGGCGAGAAGCAGAACTCAAAAGCTCTAAAGAAAGGTGCCTTATGGTAGCAGTTCACAGTTTTCGGCCTATGGGGAATTCAATAGTTAAGAACCCCAAAGTGACCTACTTCGACGTGGTAAAAATGTAGTAGGGTGCAAAGGTAGGTACAGAACTTGAATATGTTTGAGTTCAAGATATAATGTACAAAATATGTGAAAATGGGCTAAAGTTTGTCGGCTAGTTCACTCGTGACGCTATCTTTTAATAACGCTATGCGGAAAGTCATGGAACTGCAGCAAGCGGACAGCACTATATATATATAGGCTGTGATAGTATCAAGGCGCAAATCTACGCTAACTGAACAAAGATCAGATTTCAACTTTCACAGTCTCAAACCTGACGTATTCCTCTACCTTGTACCACAGTACCCGTGTCGCTGTCGTACAAACAAGAATCCCTGCGCCTGTCATATGCCGACCTACTTTGTGCCGGTACTCCTTTTGACTTCGGGGTTCGGCCATAAATACTGTGTGCTGCGACTTTATAGACACCAAAGCGTAAGCAAGGTCTTTCCTGGTTGTGAAAAAAGAAAATCCCTGAGTTCAAAGAGATGATATCATTGTATTATCTGCACTACTGCTCAGAACACCAGCCGTTCTAGCCTACGGTCCAGTCCTGATATCTTTGGTAGGGACGCTGGAAGCCGACCAAAGCTAACAATGCTGGACTCCATGCTACAGTCGTACAGTTAGGCAGACTGTTCAAGGCCTAAGTCTAAGGGAACTTATTCTAAGACCATGCCCCAGTGTACATTTTTATAGCCCTTAGGCTATGAACAAACAGACTGAAACAATTTAAAAAATATCTACGTCAGTGAAGGTAAGGCATTGGGAAAGGTGGGCGAGGTGGGGGGG